ACTCGGCAGCCCCGCCACCCCGCCGTCCCCGGCGCCTCTGGCCACCCGGGCGCCTCGGCCACCCCGGCGTCTCTGGCGCCCCTGGCCAGTCCGACGCCGCCGCCCTTCTCCCTGCGGGCCTGGGCGAGGTCGCCCCCGTGGAGAGCTGGTGTCCCGGAGGACACCGGAGGTGCTCCGCACCTCACCGAATGTACTTTGCGGAGCTTCGCAAAATTTGAGTCCACGGGTCGGGAAGGTCGTGGGACATTTCTGAGTGGGACTACCTGATGCGCGTCGAGGTCTCTGGATTTCTCCGCACCCGCGGGGCCGTTCGCTCCCTCTCCCTCCCCGCCTCCCGGGACATACAAATGCGCATCTGCAGGTGCGCACGTGGTCTTCGCGCGTTCCAAGGCAGCCGTGAAGCCTCCCTGGGTGTTGTACGCGAAGCCCCCAGCTGGCGATGGGTCCTTAGCAGGGCTCGTCGGAGCCTGGACATCACCACTGTTCTGGTCGTAGGTCTTCTCCCTGCTTAATGTTGTCAAGTGGAGTTTACTGCCCGAACAAAACAGTGATAAAAGCCGTAAAGCGAGCACTGCCGAGGTGTCGTTAATAACGGAATAGTCCTCGCAGCTGGTTATTTTTACGACCATTTTCCCAGGCCACCTTGTATCCCTATACTGAGTTCTCTCCGGGGCGTCGAAGTGGGGATTGTTTGGGATTCTCCCTTCTCTGCGCGCCACGGTGAAGTCCTGACCGGCGTTTGCAAAGGTGTCTGCGCGCCCCTTCCCGAGGTGACCGACAGAGGGCGCCGGGGGTCCAGGATTGAATCGGGAACTGCCCTTTGCAAGGCTCTTTTGCCGAGAGCGTGTGGATCGGCATTGCTAACCGATGAGACCCCCGCGGGCGGGGACTTCCCTGGATGGTGTTGGAAATGGAGTCTTGCCCTAGGAGGTGGACAGGTGTCTTGGGGGCGCGTTGCGCGGTTTGCAGTAGAAACCGCACCTCAGGACCCCCGTGCGTTCCCCCTTGTCCCCGGGCCAGCCCCCTGCGCGGCTGTGGGTGAAGCTAGCATGCACCCCCGGTCTGTCTGCCCTCGCTGTGTGGAGGTGTGTGTGTGCGTGTCCTCCTTTAGAATGGGAAGACCAGTTGGCTGCACGCAAATACACAGACAACCGGTAAAACAGCAGTCATACTTGAGGCTCTCCAAGGAGAGGAGATCAGAGACACACGGGGGCCTGCGTCCCCTCTCCGCAGAGGCGCGCACTCCTGTCCGGCGCCCGGGCTCTGGAGCCCCGCCCTGCTCACCGAACACTGCGCGACCTGCCCGCCGCCCCTCTCCCATGCAGCCCTGCTTGTAGCTGTACGTCCGCTGCTTTGACCCCCGAGGACAGGGTCTCCGATTGCACTGGGAAGTTAGGGGAAGCAGAAAATTCCCTGAGGGTTGCTCCATCCACGGAGACCTCGATTCTGAAACTAGGGCCGGTTGTGCAGCCAGAGATCCCTGAGGTCGGCCTTCGAGTTTAGGACAGTGTCACGGGAGCCGCGCCGGCCACCTGGCAGCGCGCCACGTTTGCCGCGTTGTCGCCCGGAGCGGCGGCTGGGAAGCTCCAGGAGAACACCTGGGCCCTGCCCGGCCCTGGCTTCCCAGCCCCCGCCGGGCCGTGGCGGGAGAGCAGGAGCCGGTGCGGCGCGGAGGCCCTAGGGGGCGCCGGAGAGCCGGGCGCCGCGCCCGCGGGCGACCGCAGCCTCCGCCGTAAGTCTCGGGAGTAGTGACGACCACGGGTGGTGGTGGGACTGTCATCCCTTCTCCGTGAAGTCGTGCACCAGCCACGCGGGTCCGCGGCAGTGGGCAGCCACTGAGAGATTATGAGGTTATGAGAGAGCC